CTCATCTTGGAATAAAATTGGTTTTAGCCTTTTAGCTCTGGGCAAAGGTATTTTTTATCGTTAATTATCTGAGCAACGGTTTAACCCGTTGATTTTTATTTGTGTTTCACAACAATTGGTCCGACCTGCCGGATCTCGTTCCCGCTGGAATGATGACATAAACCAGTGAACGTTTGTCGGAGGTGGAGGCCGAACTGGTTTTGATGAACCAAAAACTAGACGCGAGGGGTGCGAAGCTGGACGCACAAGGAATCCTATTGGCAGAGATCGCATCGTCCTTGGCTGCGCTCACGAAGGCTCTCACGCCGCCAGCGACAGAGGAGAATTCATCGGCAGTGGCTTCACTCGATGCGACATCAACATCCACGTTCGGAACTTGTCAGTACAACACTTCTCTCACGACGCTGCCCTTGTTTGACGGAGAAGACCCGATCGGCAGGGTTGCTAGGGCTGAGCATCAGTTCGAACTGAACTGTACTCCGTCGGGAAAGAAGGTGGCAGCCACTATAGTTGTGATGGAAGGGTTAGCCCTATACCGGTTGACCTGGATTACTGGATACGGGCACGAAAGGTGGGCATGACATGGGATGAGCTTAAACAGACGTTGATGGCTCGCCATGACTCACAATTTAAGGGCAATTGCTTTGAACGGCCGTATGAAGTCAAGCAGACAAGGACTGTGTCAGAGTACATCTCAATTTTTGTTCAACTAACAAGTCAGGTCCCAAGGCTATTTGACGATCATTATTTGGGGTATTTCATGAACGGGCTGAAAGGTTTGAGTGTCAACTTTCCTAAAGATACTGAGCAGCCCCCGGGGACAAATGTCAACCGGTTTCCGGATTTCAACCTTGAGGACAAGGTTTTTTCGAAGGCTTGGAAGAAGAGGGGCAGAAGCCCTCGTGGGTTTACTGAAGGCGGAAATGGGCTTGAGCCCACCTTCGTGGGCTGGTTGCGGGCTGCTTGATTAATATTTATTCTTTTTAATTTTCCTGATTTGTTTCCTATTTGGAATTTATTAAGATTTCTATTATTTGTTTCCTATTTGAAGTTAATTAGGATCTATTTTTATTCTATTTCCTAGTCGGAGTTGATTAGGATTTCTAGGATTTAGTTTCCTAGTTTGGAAATTAGTAGATGGGTATTTAAACCCCTTGTTAGGATTCATTTTGGCTCATCTTGGAATAAAATTGGTTTAGCCTTTTGGCTCTGGGCAACGGTATTTTTTATCGTTGATTATCTAGGCAACGGTTTACCCCGTTGATTTTTTTTTGTTACACAACAGTGTACTAATGGAGGACGAAGAAATAAAAGAGAGGTGGAGTTCATGTTTTGATACCTTGTTCAACGGGAATAAAGTACAAGGTATTGATGATCTTACTATACTAGAGTATATGGTAAATCGGGAATTTGTAAAAAGGACCCAAACGACAGAAGTTAAAGAGGCTCTCTCAGAAAGAAGGGGCAGAAGAAAGCAGTGGACCCAAATGGCATACCGATCGAGACTTGGAGAAGTTTGGGAGAGAAAGGCATCGAGTTGCTAGCATGTTTCTTCAACATGATTTGGAGAAACAACAAAATGTCAGTGAGTTGGCGGAAGAGTACTCTTACTCCCCTATTTAAAAATAAGGGTAATGTATAAGAATATGCCAACTACCGAAGGATTAAACTTATGAGTCACACCATGAAACTTTGGGAGCGAGTGGTTGAGCAAAGACTCTGCAAAAGTTTGAAAATTTTGGAGAATCGGTTTGGTTTTGTCTGGTAGCTCAACAACTGAGGTCATTCACCTTCCTAGACAAGTTGTGGAGAAGTATAGAGACACTAAAAAAATCTGCAATTGGTACCTCGAGAAGTCCTTTGGTGGGTCTTAACTAGAAAAGACGTATCACGTAAGTATATCAGTATCATCATGGTGAGGCTTGTACTACAAGTGTCCGCATTAGTGTAACTGTGTAAGGAGAACCGCAGAGTTCCCTATTACTATCGGAGTACATCAAGGATCGGTTTTGCGTCCTTTCTTATTTGTTATACTCATGGATAAACTTACGAAGTCAATTCAAGAAGATATACCATGATGCATGATGTTTGCCGACGATATTGTATCTATTGATGAGACACAATCAGGTGTTAAAGCAAAGTTGGAAGTATGACGATAAACATTGGAGACCAAGGTTTAAGACTGAGCAGAAGCAAAACTAAGTATATGGAGTGCAAGTTTGGTGGAGGTAACAATAGCAATAACAGTGGGATTACCCTTAATGGCAAGGAGATACCAGTGTGTGATATGTTCTGTTACGTGGACTTCATAATTCAGAAGGATGGTGAATTAGATGGAGATGTATCTCATAGAATCGCAGAAAAGTGGATGAAATGGAAGATTGCATCTAGATTTCTATGTGATCGAGGTATGTCGACTAGACTGGAGGCTAAATTTTATCAAGCAACAATTAGGCCTGCATTAATGTATGTTGTAGAGTGTTGGGCGGTGAAACAATGTCACATATAAAAGTTGAATGTGACAGAGATGTGTATGTTGTGTTGTCGTGTTGGATGTGTGAACATACCAAAAAAGACCGCTTGAGGAATGAAATAATCAGCAAAAGGTGGGAGTAGCACTTATTGAAGATAAGATGCAAGAGTCTTGATTGCGGTGGTTTGGTCATGTGCGCAGAAGACCGAGTGAAGCGCCTGTTAGACAACTTGAGATGTGGGAAGAAGAGGCGGGGAGAAGAGGGAGAGGAAGACCCAAACAGACTTGGACTAGAGGAATCATAACGGACATAGTTGTCATGACGCATGGCGCCATCCATGGCGCACAAGCATTTTTCCAGGGTGATGTGATGGCGCAAATATGACGTCGCCACGTGACAAAAGAAACTAAAAAAATGAATTATAGACATTATATTGTATCACCCAACCACCAAAATATGATAAAACAAGTTGAATAAGAGCATTCTAACCAAAACACGTGACGTTCAAATAGTTTAAAGTAGTTCCAAAACACATAATATTCAAAAAAAAGTTCCATGTCTTTCAAAATATATTAGCTTGTTTTTGTTTGATGATTATTACATAATCATCATCAATTGTCAGTTGTCACACTCCTCAGTCCTAATCATCTTAGTCCTCATCATCTTAGCCTGATAGCAATGGAACACCATCTTCATGCATTTAATTTTTAAATATATAAAACTATATATTTATATATATAATTATATATTGTATATAACTTAGATTTGAAACTCACAATTAATAATTTTTTTTGAAAACGAAACTCACAATTAATAATTGAAAACAAGGTTTAATTATTTTAAAATTAAAAAACTAATCAAAACAAAAAGTGAAGTATATCATAAAAGGTTATTTTAAAATAGAAGTATCACGGTTAAGACAAAAAAATTATAAATACACAACTTAATTAATTAAAATTTAAAATAATAAAAAACTAAAGCCAAAGATCGAAGACCTCGGAACAGGGAAGTCTGTGAGTTCCTCTGCTACTCGGCTTCCGCGAGGGACCGAAGGAGGGCGACTCTGTGAGTTCGCCTTATTTGTTTGCTTCATGCGTGTGACTTGGCTAGACGACTTTGGGCAACAAATGGTTCGTAAGGTAGATTAGTCTGTGCTTAGCTTTTAATTAAAGCATGCAACCTTAATCAAATTAGCTTCCTAAAAAATTAAGGCCTAAATCTATTTTATCTAGTTCTGGGCCAGCCACGGCGGCTCGACTTGCGAATAAGGCGAGGATTTCTTCGCCAACATCGCGCCTAGACGATTATTGGACGACGCCTAACGCCATGGCGATGGCGCCCAAATGGCGAAGGCGCAAGAATGGCATCGCCTCTTGTATCTTCAGCGCCACAGCCTATTTTCATGGCACAGAGGGCCTAAGCGCGTCACATGGCGCATGTAGCAAGCGCCATATTGCACCATCAATAACTCAGTTGCAGGTTTTTCAGCGGCCTAGTGATCTATCGGGCTTAGTTAAACAGGCCTACTATGCGGAATATTTCGGTCTCCCTAATTTTCGTTTTATTTAAATCCTTTCTTGTATTGTTTGCTCCAGGATTGGGTCAGGTCTAGCCCCCCAGTTCCTTTCTTTTTATTTGCTTTTGTGTATTTTAAGAGGGATGCCTCTTTGAAGTGGTTTTGACCTAGTTCCCCACTTCACTTGTACTCTCTCTTTTATTGATAAAACTCTGTCAAATGTTCCCCGGCATTTACCCCATTGATTTTGGTGGTTTGCCTTCCGGGTTAAAAAAATGGATATGCTTCTTCTTGGGTTAGATGGGAGTATGGCTTTGGAGCAAAATGGAGAGCGAATATTCGTATGGACGATTTATCTCTTTTCTCTCTCTTTTTCTTTTATCTTTTATCTTCTCTATCTTTCTATGTTCTTGAGTTATTTTTATCTTTTATCTTTTTTATACTCTTTTATCTTTTTACCTTTTATATTTCTTATGTTCTTATGTTATTTTATCTTATATTTATTTTTATCTTATGCATTTTATCTTACTTTATCTTTTTATTCATCTTGTCTTTTCTTTTCTTTTTGGCTCTGATATCATGGATCGATTCATGTTAGCGGGCCCCAAAATCTTTTGGGATTAAGGCTTGGATGTTGTTCTTGTTGTTTGTCCTTCTTCCTATTAGAAACATATTCTCTCCATCTAAAAACGAGTCTTGTTTTACAAGAATTGTCCCCAAAAGAGAACACATTTCATATTAAAAAAAGGTTAATTTTTTATTTAATGACACAATAAGAGGACTTTAAAGAATTACAAGTCCTTAAACCAAACAAGAATCTTTTTAATGGGGCGAGTATTATGTTCCATTTTGACAAACAATGCCGAACACTAATCAAAGTATCGAACTAAGTAGACAAAATGACTAAGTCAGCAAATGGACAGCTCAACCAAGGTGTTATTCTGTTACAGAACAAAGCCGATTGAAACGAGAATAAAAAAACGATCACAGAATTGAGAAGTTGGACGTACCAAGACGGAACCGCGAGTCCCCAGTTTGATCGAAGCAGATTTCGAGAAGGTTCTGGAACTCCGAATCCCATCTGAGGAAGGAAAGGTTTCGCAAGGTTTAAATAGGGCAAAGTTAGCAGCTTTGCAGGTGGACCAGCTGGATGGTTTGATTGAGCATGCAAGGGTTCTTCTGTAATTTAACACGGATGAGATCCGATGAGAGCAACAAGATGAGCACGGTAGCTCCATCCCCGGAAAGCGCGAATTAAGATTAGCTTGAGATCAAGTCTCAGTGTTGCTATCTCCAGTTTGCCTTCAGTTTTAATGAGCATTCCATATTTTTACAGTTTTACCTTAGCTTTGCACGCTGGGGTTGTTTGGATTCGATCGGTTGTGTTTTGATGAAGGGATAGTATAGGCCGTTTATAGGACCGTGTTTGGTTAGATGACCTTTTGCAAACTAGGGATAATTTATTTTTTTTAAGGAAATAAATTTAATTTTTTTATCATTTAAGGAAATCATTTAATTTATCTAAACAGTCAGACCGTGTTTTAGGCCATGTTTGGTTGGAGGGTTTCGGAGAGGATGGGAGGAAAGTGTGAGATTTGTGTGTGTTTGGTTGAAGAAAATAGGAGGGAAGGGGAGGAAAGCGGAAGTTTTTCAAAATCCTCCACTTCCTCTCATTCTAAACCCCCCAAATTGGGGTATTTCGGAGGAAACGTGTTGATTACCACAAACTATTTATCTCCTACGTGAATGAAAAAAACGTAAAAAAGGTAAAAAACAAAAAGTTTTGAAAATTTTAAAAATTTAAAAATTTAAAGATTAAAAAATTTAAAAATTAAAAAATTAAAAATTTTGAAAATTAAAACTAAAAAAAATTAAAAAAATAAAAATAAAAAATAAAAAAATCCAAACTGAAAAATGAAAAATTATATAATTAAAAAAGTAAAAAATCAAATAAAATAAAATTATTACTCATGACCGTAGGAGTAATATTCACACTAGTTAGACATGTATCTATTTTTTTAAGTAAGCTATCAAATAAAAGTAAATTACGAAAATATTTTCATTAAATCTTTCCTCCTATTTCCTCCAACCAAACACAAATTTTTATCAAAATTCTTCCTTCCCCTTCCCTTCGCCTCCCCTCCTTGACTCTCCCCTTCCCTCCCCTCCTTTGTACCAAACAAGGCCTTAAGGAAATCATTTAATTTTTTTATCTACTAACCACTTATATACGTATTACACATTTTGCTAATGTTATTAGTGCAATTACTTAATCTATTTTTATATAATAAAGAATAATAATTAATTAACACAAGTAATATTTCTTTTAAACATTGTTTTCATGTAGGAATAAATTTTACAAGTGTGATTATATTTTGATTGATTAATAAAATAATAAGTGTGAAATATACTAAGAAAAGTTGTGTTAGAAAAATGAAAATATATTTAAATATCAATGTCATCGTAATCAAAATAGTAATGACCACTTCATCGTAACAAATGACGTATCTTAAAAAATCATAATATTCTCTGTTGAGTTTTATTCCTTCAACCCGCAGGCCCAACACGTAACCTGGGGGTTTCGAGTGGAAAGTGAACAATTAGATGGAGAACACGCAGGGAAAATGGCCCAAACAAGGGAGTGTTTATTCACTAAACTATTACAAGCCGAAGGGCCGAACGTACAATGCTATGCTATGTGGTGATACTATTTTTTTATGAACTGTAAATATACTAGATTTCCGCCCGTGCGATGCACGGAACAAAACTTAGTAGAAAAATTATTCCCTTTGTTCCTAAATTATCTACCAAAGTACATTTGGTATGAATATTATATTGTGTGGTGAAGAGTTGTACAAATGAGAGAAAATGTGTTATATATAAGAAATATTGTGAATAACAAATTCTTTGCCAAAAAGAAAAGAAATGCATGTAATACTATGTATTATTTTGGGAATTACAAAAAAAAGAAATTTGGAAGATAAGTTAGGGACGGAGGCGTATATCTTATTATTTGTCAAATAATACGGAGTATATACTCCGTAATAGTTTACAATAGAATGCATAAATGTACAAATAAAACAAAAGATAATGTATACCAAAAGGTTATAAGAATTGAGAAGAATAAAACAAATTGTTAACAATATTTAATAAAGTGAAGAACTTGAGCTCCTTTTATCATAAAATAAAGAAAAATTATATGTAAAAATAGATAAAATAATCATCTACAGTAACTTTAGGTAATATATTCAGAAAAGTAACTACAACAATACTTTTTCTTATTATTACACAATTCAGTGCGCAAAAACAAAAGTTACGTGTTTGCTGAAAAGTTGGCTAATAAGCTTGATAAGTCGAAAAACAGTGTTACCAAATGGCCTCATAGTAACTAAAATTTAAAATATCAAATTTTATATGTGAATCAGACATCTTCACAGAATCACAATGACAATTTTACAAATTACTCGGTATTATACTTTATACCAAGTGATATGATTATACTCATACATACTACTCCCTCTATCACATTTTACATGTTCTACTTTTCTTTTAGGGTTTTCTCAAAATAAGTGTCATATTTCTCTTTTTTGTTGTGAAAGAAATACGTAGTCTACAACATGTCACTTTATTATACTCAAATCTCAATCACATCTTCAACTTTTCAACTACTTTCTTAATATTGTACCAAACCAAAGTATGACATATAAAATGAGACGAATGTAGTATTAAAATATAACAAATTTGTGGATCTTTTTCTAAACTAAAACTCACATTTTAAACATTTAGTTCAAGTTAAGTTTTATAAGTTGTTTAACATATTAATGAATACTCCGTAAAATTTAGTTAAGGTAGAGTCAGGTAAATAGCTTAAATGTCAAAATGATTGCAACTACACAATTGTGGAATGTCGACCAAATGAATCCAATACTTAAAGGTTAATAAAAATAAAAGAAAAATAGGAAATGTCTAGAAACAAAGAAGCAAAATTCAAGAAGATACCATGAAATTAAAACGTAGATCAAAATCAAAAACTCAAAGCGCAAGGCCCTATTCCTCTTCAACATATCAAAGTAAGTCTCCCTGAATTATCTCAGAACCTTAAACCTCCGGTGCCATTGCTTATCTGCATTTTCAGCCGCGTCGTAACCACACCGAGGGTTAACTTGTGGCATCTCCTCTCTCATTCTCGAATCCCTTAATGCACCTCAGGGTCTAGGTTGTGAACACGTAGAAGATGATGTAACCCGTCGAGGAAAGCCCGGTTGGAACCCAAGGGTATGAATTTGCACTGCAGTCTGGATGTCACCTGTCAAGTCAACATGCATTTAAAGACCTTGAACCAGCTAACAATAGACAGATGTGAGTGACCCGACCCGATCCATATTTATTTTGGTTGTTTGGGCAGGAAAATCAGCTTGCATTCCACTTGCTTTTGTATAGAGTAAGATATATCCAAAGTAGTTCTGTACAACATGTATATGGACAAAAATGTAGGTTATCCCAAGTAAGGATGCCCTATCACCAACAAAAAGATCAGAATCTAATCTCTATGAAGCCCATAGCAAAAAATAGGTGACGGTAGTTTCAAAAAGTAATCATATTGCATGGATAGATGGAATATAGCACTTGGTAAACCATAAACTTAATGTGGGTGATCATATCCTCCACATTGCATGTAGCACCATCAAAATGTAGGGAGTTTCTTACCTCCATATCCAATATGTACTAAAGCTGAATGCTATCCTCATGGCTTTGGCTCGGATGTGCGTACCATTTCACTCCTTTTGGATCCACTTCACGGAGCTCCTCAGCGATGTCATTTGTCTTTTCATTACTAGCCATTCTCTAATTGTTTTCCAAACCTGACCTGTAACACAACATTCAAAAAATAGGTGTGGCACTGTTTCTGAGTCACCCTTACAAAAGTAACAAACGTTAGGCAAATCAAGATATCTCAAGTTACCCGAAGTTGCTAGCCTATTACAAAAGGAAAGCCACATGATAAAAGAGAACTTGGGAGGGACATGCGGTTTCTAAATGAAAGACATCCAAGCATGAGTAGTCCCTTTAATTCTAAGAAGATCATACACTTTGGAAGGAGAAAGTTTTTCATTAGAAGAACATTTTTGAAGATATTGTAAAGTCGCGGCTAGAGAAGGAAATTTGGAGACAATAGCGTCCCTAATCAATACCAATCTCTTCATGAGCAGAGAGTTCCTATTGTGTGGAACAAAATTGCTGATACTATTGCTAGAAGGCTAGAGTGCTAAATTGTGAACCCTTTACAGTGAAATAAATGCTACTATTTATACTGCCAATGGGTGGTTGGACATGTTGAGGTGGCAAGCTGTGGATGGCATGATCCCAACCACCAAATCTTTTGCATTAAATGTGCTTCCCGCCAGAATCTTGGTTTCCCGCCCTTGGGTGGGGACGTTCGTCCCCAAGGGCTTGGCTCCTATATCCTGCTGGAATCCCGATCTCCTGTAAATGGGAAAGGGGACGATCGTCCCCATGCACTTGAGCTATCCTTGATCTATTCTTAAGCCGCCCTTGGTACCCTATCGCGGGGTGGGGACGTTCGTCCCCGTGTACCTCGTAGGGACCCTGGGCTGACAGTGGAACACGTACGTCTCCTGGCCTTGGGCTTTGGTACTGGCTGGTGATGGAGTACGTACGTCCCCTGGTCCTTGGGCCTTGGTACTGGCTGGTAATTGAGTACATACGTTTGTAGGATATCCTCGTGGACCCTCTGAGGACGTTCGTAAGGGGTCTTTAAGGGTTGATGGGTCGGCCTGTATCGGGCCATTAACCCAACACAAGTCTCCCACTTCTGATATTCCGAGCGTGCGCGGGAGATAAAGAAGTAACACGTTTCCGCCGTGCCGTCTTGAACCGCCATCCCTACTTTCGATGTGACGATTGCTTCTCTGGCCTACGTTCACAGGGCTCTAGGCGGCAGTTATGCGGGCTGGTTCAACTCCCGATGTAAAAGTAATTATTTCGCGCATGTCCGTCTCTGTGCGACACGTGTCTCTGGATACGCTCCCCGCCACGTGTTGTTTGTGGATTGGCCAATGGAGAGGCGTATCCTCCTATAAATACCAGATCCTTTGGAAAGATTAGGATTTTCCGTTCCTCGTTTGATTCTAGAGTGCCCCGGCGTTCTTCTGCAAGCATTCTTTGGCTCCCTTGTCCAGCTTCGTCCTCAGTTGTAAAGGTTACTTCACTTTCGATCCCTTCTTCCCTTTTTCATTTAACCCCTCCCATGGCTTGGGAGCAAGACGCTGTCGAGGACCAGAGGAGAGTTGATGAAGCTCTGAGGGCAGAGCGGGAGACCGTACAGGCCAGAGAGGCGACTGCCTTGGTTGAGAAGG